ACCCTGTCTCAAAAAGACCAAAAAAAAAAAAAAAAGGTCATCCAGCATATTGCTAGCCCACAAAATGATAAAAAGTGATAAAAATTCCAAGTATGGAGGTTTATACTTGTAATCCCAGCACTTGGGAGCTGAGGTAAAAGGATAGGAGTTCAAGGTTTGCCTGGGTTACCTAGGCAGAATTGTAGAATGAACCTGTCCCCCCCAAAAAAAAGTTTCTACTGGGTGCATATTGCTTGATATTATAAAGTTGAAAGTTTCAGGTTGAACCATCAAAACGGTGTGCTATGTAGAACAAACATTCTTTATGTTCATAGGCTTGTGGAGGAAATCTTTTCAGGAGTTTGCTGATGAGGAATGCTATAGGAATATTTATTCACTGGATTTCTTTATGCTTTATAGGAAAAGATTTGAGGCAGCTTTGCAGATAATGAGGGGTAGGAAAATAGAATGTGACCACATAAAGGAGTGGGAAAAGTGAAGTTTGGGACTATAATCCCAGCACTTGGGAGGCTGAGACAGGGGTATTGCTACAAGTTTGAAACCAGCTTGGGTTACACAATTCCAAGCCAGCCTGGGCTACAGTAAAAAAGGAAAAATGAATGCACTAGATAGCGGGGCAAACGTGGTTTCTGGGCCTCTTTCTAGCCAGGGCAAGAAGGGAAATGGCTTGTTGCCTCCTCCTTTATACAGGAGAATTTTAGTTCTTTTAGGGAATCAGATTTTCTTGACCCCAAGCCCTTACAAAAGCTTCTCAGATTGTTAATACAGAAAAGTAGTGCTTTGTAGACAGGGTCTCACTATGTCCTACTCTGGCTGTCCTGGAAAACTGTAGACCAAGCCAACCTCAGACTCACAGGTTTGCCTGCCTCTGCCTCCAGAGTGTTGGGATTCAAAGGGTGTGCCACTATGCACAGCCAGAAAGCTATCCTTAATGTTCCTCTGTTTGGGTTGCTCCTATCATTATGCCCCCAGTGGTGATAGATAAAGCTAATTGCTGGCACTAGCTGTGATACCACCCTCATCTGTTCATCTGATTGTCAGGGGCTGCAGTGGGGATGGCTGAACTGGAGGGTCCTGAGCGTTGCAGTTAAATCCTGAACAACTGGAGCTGAAGCGATGGCTCAGCAGTTAAGAGCACTGGCTGCTCTTGCAGAGGACCCAGGTTTGATTCCCAGAACCTACATGCTGGTTAATAGCCATCTGTAACCCCAGTTCCAGGGATCTGACACCCTCTTCTGACTGAGGGTATTGCACGACATAGGTACATTTGCATGCATGCAGGCGATACATTCATACACATTAAAAAAAAAATTGAACAATTGCAAAAGAGCAGTCCGTGTAGCCATCCCTGAGCAAAGCTGAGGGATGGATGCAAAAGACCAACCTAGCCAGGAGTGGTGGCACTGCAGGGCAGGGGGCAGAGGCAGGTGGATCTCTGTGAGATCTAGGTTAGCCTGGTCTATATAGTCAGTTCCAGTTCCAGGCCAATTGGGGCTACAGGGAGACCCTGTTTCAAAAAACCTCCAAAAAATCCAAACCCAAACCAAACAAGATTGGCCTAGGGGTAATGATTCTGGAGAGGGTATTGCATCCAGTAATCAAGGCAGAGATCACTGAAGTGGTGTCCTGTAAACTAGTGACCCTCTGGATTGTCCAGTAGAATTATCCCCACAAGATTCACTTTCCAGAGTTGGGGTCCTTTGCAAGAAGAGCCAGTGCTCTTAACTGCTGAACCATCTTCCCAGCCCCTCCCTCCCTCCCTCCCTCCTTCCTTCCTTCCTCTCTCTCTCCCCTGTACTGAGGATTGAGCCCAGATCTTCCCATGTCAGGCAAGTGCCCTGTCACTGAGCTGCACCCCAGGCCCCTGCAACATCTTCAGTGACTGTCTCCAAGCACCTTCCTCAGTTTGGGCCACACCACAGAAGCTCTCCAAGGGATAGGCAGGACCAAACACGTATCTTGTGGGGTATGAAGTGAACACGCTCCATCGCTCCTCACCTTTTCCCCTCCCCCTCTCTCCCCCACTCCCTCTCTCTCCCTCTCTCTCCCTCTTGAAACAGAGCCTCACTGTGTAGTCCTTCCTGGCATAGAACTTGCTATGTAGACCAGGCTGGCCTCAAACACACAGAGATGTACCTGTCTGGTCTCCATAGTGAGTTCCAGACCAGCTGGGGCTACAGAGAGACCTTGTCACTCATTCCTCTCTCTTCTTGGTAGACTAACCTGACTCTTGAGCATTTCAGGAAGTCCTGAAGGTCATCCCCACCTCTCAGCTGGCAGCCTTGGAGTTGGATCTCTGATTCATCTGCTAGGGACTCCATTTATGTTAGTTTTTTTTTTTTTTTTTTTTTTTTGAATTTGGGGAAAACAAAGAAGGAAAGATTTGTTTTGGCTCATGGTTTCAAAGGTTTCATGGTTGGTTAGATAAAACATCATGGGTGTTCAGTGGTTATGGTAAAGAAGGCTGCTTACCTCATGGCAGCCAGGAAGCAGAGAGATGGTGGTACACCCTTCAAAGGCATACCTCTTGACTGATCTTGCCTCTGGGCCACCTACCCTCTGACCTGACTTCCACACCAAGGCTACGCCATTGTTTATCTTATCGATCTGGTTTCACCACTGTCTTACATACACTGACTTTGCTTTTTAGCAGTGCTGGGGACTGAACCACTCTACACTGAGCTATATCTCCAGCCCAACTTGCAATTCTTTATGGTCCCCATAGTTGATAGCCACAGTTTTAAAATTTATTGATCATATGGCACTATTAGTAAGATGTTTTGAGTATGTTATCTTGGTATGTATCCACTTGTCATTCAAGATAGTTCCAGGGATTCTCACCTCTTGGGACTTGCATTCCTGTGCAGTTCCTTCCCATCCTGAGGAGGGCTGACCTGTAACACCAGCTGGAAATGATGGACTGTTACTCAGGGTAGACTACAAAGGGCCTGTGCCCTGGGGTCACTCACAATGGAGGGAAGGCAGCAGTTATGTCATGAGGACACTCAGTCATGTGGAGAGGCCCATGTGGCTCATGTGGTGACATACAGACTATATCCACCAGCAACTAGGAGCAATTTGCCTGTGATATGAGTGAATCACCTTGGAAGCTGATTGTCCAGCTTTGGTTCAGTCTTTCTTTTTTTTTTTTTTGAGACAAGGTCTCCCTGTAGCTCCAGCTGGCCTGAAACTCACTATGTAGACCAGGCTGGCCTTGAACTCACAGAGATCCACCTGCTTCTGCCTCCCAAGTGCTAGAATTAAAGACATGAGCCACCATGCCCAGCAGACTGGTTCAGTCTTTCAATGAGTACAGCACTGACTGAAATCATGACTGCACTCTTAGGAGACATTCTGAGCCACAACCAATGCGCTAAGCTGCACTCTGACCCTCAAAAATGGCATGAGATGATCTGTGCTCATTGTTTAAGTTGGTAAATTGTGGTGTGATTATTTTGTAACAATAGATAATGAATATACATATCCAAGTGTACAGGTCTATTATAGATGCATTATTATAAAACATGTTTCTCTAAATTTCTATTTAGAAAAAAATGAATTAAACTCCCCTCACCCTCCCATTTTGTACTAGCTCAAGCACTGCTCTCCTATCATTAACTTTGGGGAACATGGCTATAGGGTATAAATCAGATTTCAAAATGCCTTCTTCCAGGACAGTATACAAAGAAAGATGCATAGATCCCAGGGTTAGAGCATTCTGCATTTTTACAAACTGAACACTACCATGTCACCAGCATCCAGATCAAGAAACCAGATGTTCCTTCACTCCTAAATCCCACTTTACTCCCTACCAGTCACTACCTCTGTGAGTGTAACCACTATTTAGACAGAATCTGCGTAGGTTTGTTTGCCTGAATAAACTAGACTGTAAGTGGTAATATCAGAGTGTTAAATTAATGGCCCAATTGTCACCAAAATCACTGGCGGCAGGCCCAGTGTACGTAAACACGAGGATTTTTCAGGACATAGATAGACAAGGGCACACAGAGCCATCACATTTTATGTAAGGAATATATCCCTATATAGTTTGTATAAGCTAAAACTTTCACAATTCAAGTTTTGTTTTTTCCTTGTTATTTTGTCAGGCAGAATTTATAGGACTTCGCATTTGGAGCCTAATGTGAGACTTGTTCACATTTTTAATATTGCCCACTTTCCGAGTTAACACAACTTGAATTCTGACCTCTCTGAAGGCCCCAGGGCTGTGAAGGATCACATTTGAGCATCTCTGATGATTTGGGGCTCTGGCATGTGGACCAGATGAGAGCCCAGTTCTGGGTGAGATGCTGGATACAGCACACAGGACTCCTGTCAGGCTATGTACTTTTCAGTCCTTCTGCATACTTCCCTGCCATGTGGCTGTGACAAGTTCTTGTCTTCCAGGGCTTTAACTCTTTCATCTGTAGAGTGAGTTGTGCTCTAGGGATGAGAAAAGTGGATGTTTGAGAAGCCCTGGGGTGCACTGCAGTCAGTGGTTTCTTGGCCTCCATCCCAATGGAGGATAGCTCCTCACGTTGCTTCCATGCTGCTTGGAGGACTGCAGGAGAGTGAGTGGGTGAGGTTAGGGCTGGGGAGCCTGGAGCTGAGTCCCTGAAAGCTACAGCCTGCAGCCATTATGTCCAAGGTCACAGTACAGGATTGGGTAAGAGCAGGGAATCTGTTGAAGCTTTTGATCCTGGTCAGAGACATGGGCAATTCTGGGAAATTCAGAAATGAAAGGGGGAGGGACCATGAGAAAACAGAAAACTTCACTCTGATTCCTTTAGGCCTGCCTCCCCCACAACATGCAAAGAGGGTGGAGGTGATTTGTGTGTGTGTGTGTGTGTGTGTGTGTGTGTGTGCAGAAGAGTCCCCTTCCCTGGGAAAGAGAAGAGAGTAGCAGTAGTAGCCACTCATCCTCCACTTCCAGCCCCCCTGCCCCCAAGTTCCAAATGTATTTTCACCTCTGTTTACGGTTCAAAGTCCTGGACATTGGAGATGCCAGATTCAGCATGCACACACACATAGGGCCCTTGGATGGACCCTGTCCCCTCCTCTCTCATTGTGCGGGCCTGTCTACCCAACCTGACTCTCCAGACTTCAGTCTCCCTCTTAGCCTGGGATCTGCATATCATCTAGGGACCTTCAGTAAGTAAAACGGGGGAAATTATGGGAGTGGCAGGCAACCAAGAGAGTGGGTGGAGGGGGATCATTTGTGTGCGTGTATGTATGTGTGTGTGCGTGTGTGTGTGAGAAAATGGCAGAGAATAGATTTTTTTTTTTTTTTTTTTGAGATCAGGTCTCACTATGTTGCCCTGGATGGCCTGAATCTTGCTATGTAGATCAGGCTGGCTTCAAACTCACAGATATCTATCTGCTTCTGTCTCCTGAGTGCTGGGATTAAATGTGTGTGTGCCACCATACCAGGCCAGAGGATAGATTTTGGATGTTAGACCTGGAAACAGATGGAGGGAAGAAGGAAGGTATCATTCCCACTGGGGTCTCCCAGTAAGTTGCAAAAAGAGAACAGATCTCATGTTCCAGCTCCTGCCCGGGTTAGGCCCTGCCTCAGCCCTAACCTCAGCCTTGATGCTCCAGGTCCAGCTCCAGTGCTATTATGACAAAGGAGTATCAAGATCTGCAGCACTTGGACAGTGAGGAGAATGACCATCATCAGCTCCGGAGAAGTGAGGGCTACATCTCACCTGAAAGGAGAGCATTGATGGTGTTTGGTCCTTAGCCCCAGTCCCTGTTTTTCCCCAGCTGACCCCTGGTTCTGTCCCAATCACACAGAAAATGGAAGCTGAGTTACTCTTGCTGGGGGTGGGGTACAGGGTATAGGACTAGAGTCCCTTTCCTCAGTTACAGTAGCCCAAGCTTCCTCACCCTGTCATCCTGGACTCTAGGGAGGGGATGGATCTGAGGCATGGGGGCCATTTCTTCTGGTTAGGCTCCCTTTCCTCTTCAGTCTTGACAGTGTGTGTGTGTGGGGTGGAGGGTGTATCATCAGTTGAGGTCTCTGCTGGAGGATGAGGCATCCTGTATCTAAAACAATCTTCTCTCCCCACTTTTTTCTGTCCTTCAAGCAGGGGCTTTAGTTTAAGCGGAGGAAAGACAAAGCTCTTGGGGGATCAGAGGTGGGCAGTGTGCTTTTATGAAGGAGAGGTAGGAGAGGAAAAAATGGAAAAGTCCCATACTCCAGTTGACAGGGTTAAGGGTCCCTTTCTCCTTTGTTGGGAAAGATTCGCCTTATCTCCCTGCATGCAGCCAAAGACGCGCAGGATTCACGGAGAGTGGAAGAAACTTTTCCACAGTCTGGTGGAGCCATGACTCCCCAGGTGGGGACTCGGTGGGTCATCATCTGTAATAACGCAATCATGCCACGAGGTGGCAGCAGAGACACAGAGCCTCGGCTGTGCAAGGGGAAGGTCAAAGTTTAGCCCCTCCGAGATAACCCCTTCCTTCTTCATCTTAGGTTACTTCCGGCCCTATAGAGTTGCCCACATTTCTTAATCTATATGGTTCCTATTAGTGTACTGGAAAGTTTGGTCTGCTCCCTTTCTAGGACTCCGGGAGCTGCACCGGGCTGGACTGGGTCTCAGCTCCTGACATCCTCTGTTGCAGGGCCGCCTTCCACCAAGCCGCTCTTGCGGCGCCTGTGCTCTGGATCCCGCCTCCTTCTGTTCTCCCTGGGCCTCAGTCTCCTGCTGCTGGTGGTAGCCTGTGTGATCGCATCCCAAAGTGGGTGACCAGGGTTGGGCAGAGAAGAGGGCAACTTTGGGTTTTGTGTTGAGTGTTTGTGGAAGACAGTGGTGGAGGGAATGGTGGGTGCAGTTGGGGAGGGGCACAGGTCACTCATTTTGCCCTACCCACATCCTCTTCTGCGAAGACTCTCAACTGCGGAGGGATCTGCTGGTCTTGAAGGAGACTTTCCACAACTTCACTGTGAGCACTGAAGCCGAGGTCAAGGCCCTGAGCACCCAGGGTGAGGGGAACCAGGGTTGGAGCTGGGGAATGGGGCTGGGTTGAGGGGTGGTAGGGATGTCAGGACACTGAACAAGTTTCTCCCCTAGGAGGCAGTGTGGGAAGAAAGATGAAGTTGCTGGAGTCCCAGCTGGAGAAACAGCAGAGGGAACTGAGTGAAGGTTGGATCCTATGTGTGTGCGTGTGGGTGTGTGGTGTCTCAGGCCAAATCAAAGCATTGGCCAGGGTGTCTGTGACTGGCTGTTCCCGTGTTCACACTGACCTCATTATCCCCCCCACCCTTCTGCCCTCCGCCTTCCTAGATCACTCCAGCTTGCTGCTCCACATGAAACAGTTTGTGTCTGACCTGCGAAGCTTGAGCTGTCAGATGGCTGTCCTTCAGGGCAATGGTGAGGGGTGGGGCCTCCAGCCCTACTTTTCTGCCCCTCACCTCTTTGTAGCATCTCAGCCCTTCACCTTCCTCCCACCTCAGGCTCTGAAAGGACCTGCTGCCCCATTAACTGGATGGAGTACCAAGACAGCTGCTACTGGTTCTCCAGCTCTGGGAGGTCTTGGCTTGAGTCTGACAAGTACTGCCAGCTGGAGAATGCCCACCTGGTGGTGGTGACCTCCTGGGAGGAGCAGGTGAGGCCCCAGTGGCTCTTATGGGAGGCTGGCTGCTGTAAAGGAGAGGTCACCAGCTCCTTTTTTTTCTTTCCTCAGAAATTTGTCCAGCACCACATGGGTCCTATAAACACTTGGATTGGCTTAACTGACCAGAATGGGCCCTGGAGATGGGTGGACGGAACTGACTATGAGAAGAGCTTCAAGTGAGTGTATGCCTTAGGCAGCTTGTGCCCTCCTGGGAGACTGACCTACCTTCCCAGCCTATGGCCCCAAGTCTGGAGGTCTCCTGGGAGCATGGTGGAGAGTCTGAGCCCTTGGGGCCCACAGCTGTCTTCTGTCTGTAGAAACTGGGCCCCAGAGCAGCCAGATGACTGGTATGGGCATGGACTTGGAGGAGGAGAGGACTGTGCCCACTTCACTCCAGATGGTCGCTGGAATGATGACATCTGCAAGAGGCCCTACCGCTGGGTCTGTGAGACAGAGCTGAACAAGACCAGCTAGGAGCCTCCTTCCCCTTAATTTATTTCCTTAATGCTTTGAGATGCTGGGGTTTGGAACTGGGAAGGATGATGTTTGAAGAATGTAGTATCCTGGTTGGTGGGGGGAGGTTATTGAAACCCATGACACTTTGTGTAGTGTGACGCTTACTACTGTCAATTTTTTTTAGAATAAAAGAAGAGAAATACACTTAAATGACCATGAGTTGTCTGGTCATTGGGGGTTGGGAATGAGGAGTGGGTTAGTTGGCTTTGGAAGGCCAGCAGTGGCACTATGGAGACTGAAGGGACTTTGGATCACATAGCCTGGTTGGCAGCCTGGCTTTGCTGTGCATAGGCATGTGAGCTTGGGAAAGTTACTCTGTTTTTTGAGTCTCAGTTGTAAAATAGGCTTGTTTTTGGCTACCACTCACTAGAGAACAGCAGCCCTCCAATGTTGAGTCCCTCAAAAACTCTGAATGAAACTCACTGGTCTGTTGCATTCACCACAATAAAAAGAAACGGCATTCCTAGACAGGTGATAAGTGCCATGAATACACAACTCAGAGTCACCAAGCACATAAGGACAACCAGGACCATGGAAGAGAAGCTCTAATATTAGAATCAGCAACCAAGGATGGGAATGAGGACAAATCAGTCATGGGTATCTTACAGACATGGAATTATTAACAAAACTGGGGGAAATGTTTGCCCATAAATAACACCTCAACCCATTCCAAAACAGCAGTTCTCTGACCATGATAAAATAGTTAGAAGTGAACACAGAGTACATTTTTAAGAAGCTGTGCCAAAGCTGGGCCCGGTGGCTCATGTCTTTAATCCTAGCGCTCAGGAGGCCAAGGCAGGAGGATTGGCACAAGCTTGTATTGTGGACTACATAGTGAGTTCTGAGCCTGTCTGGGCTAAAAAGTGAGACTCTCATAAATCCCAGGCCAAACCAAACCGAAATATAATTTCCTCACTGTCATTCTAAATAATTTTGGGCTTAAGAGAAAAATTAAAAAGTCAAGGGGCTGGAGCGATGGCTCAGCAGTTAAGAGCACTGGCTGCTCTTGCAGATGACCCAGGTTCAATTCTTAGCAGGTATCAATCCTTTGCAACTCTAGTTCCAGGGGATCCTATGCCCTCTTCTGACCTTCATGGGCATTGCAGGGCATGGGTGCACTTAACATGCAGGCAATACATTCATACACATAAAAAAAAAAAAAAACCTAAAAAAAAAGTCACATGATTTAGAAATGAATACTGTGAATACGATGTACTGAATGGTAGGGTGGCCTAAAGCAGCTCAGGAGGAGGTGCATGGAGATGTAAGCACATTTATTGCAGATTAAGAAAGGGTGAATTGGAATAAGCTGTGTGTTAACTCAAAAAGTTTGAAAAAGAATAAAATAACCTCCTGTGTTCTTTTTTTTTTTTTTTTGCCTCTGACAGAATACCTTACTGAAATAACTTAAGGGGAGGTTTATTTTGGCACCTGGTTTGAGGAGATCCAGTCTGTTATGGAGTGGGAGGCGTGGTGCAGGTGGTTCTGTGGAGGAAGGAGGCCGAGGCAACTGCTTGTTACATGGCTGATCTGCAGCTATAGAGGGTGGGCTGAAACCATAACAGCTGTCCCTATGGCCCTACATCTGCCAGCTTGGTCCTGAGTCCAGAAGGTTCCACAGCTTTCCAAAATAGTGCCACCAGCTAGGGATCAAGGGTTCAAACACAAGAGCCTGCGAGAGACATTTCACAGTCAAAATATAATCCCCCAAATAGAAAAAGTAATTTACAAAAATGCAATAAAAATGAGTTAGAAAATGAAATGTAGAAGGATTAGTAAAAATAAGATTTTTGGAAGTGAATAAAATAAATATGGAGAAAAAACCCACAGAAAATTTGTTAAAATATAAAAATTACATTTATTTATTTATTTATTTATTTATTTATTTATTTATTTACTCTGTGTGTGTGTGTGTGTGTGTGTGTGTGTGTGTGTGCCATGGCACACATGTGGAGGCAGAGGACAAC